CTTCATCACCTTACACGAAATAGGGTGAATACATCTCATTACATTACTAAAGTGGCCTAACTATTATCCGAAAGAGGGGTGTTTTGGACTGAAGTCTGTAGTTGAATTTTGCTTCTTAACCTTAAGTGAATTTTGTTGAATAAACTTCTTATATAAGATCTATTGGTAGTTTAGGTAGACTAATTAAAACGGAAAATCCCAAAATAAATGTGATTTGAAGCAGGTATGGCCTTCCTTTAATGCCACATTTGTCCCGCTACCCTCTGACACCAGTTGTTGTTTAGTGGAGTGGTAACGTTGCCAGGATATTCACGAATTAGTATCAAAGAATGCTATGGCACGCCATCTCGCGATCCCGAGTAATCCGGGCTGAGCTCTCGTCGGTAAGGTGAAACCACTCAGAAATGAAATTAAAAGCAGACCGTAAGCATCTTGATGGCACAGCAACAGTGCACTACACAGCTTCGTAAACAAGTAACCTAAAGGCAGATGTGTCTTTTAAGGCAAGCCAGGTCTTACAGAAAGTAAATCGAAACTTGGAATTTCGATTAGACAAGACTATATTTGCTATTAATACAAACTACATTACTTAGGCTTTGGTATATGTTTCGAAACTAAAAGTAATTATTTAATATGAACGTAGTCGCCATTGGTTGCTTAAGGTGATTTAACGAATGACAGTAGAGGTTTTCCCGTAATGATATCAATAGGCCTCGTGATAACATTGCATTTGCCTCAGTCTTGCTCAGGCTTACTCATACCAAGTGATATAAGCAATATGAGATTTATGGGGAGGGTTTGGCAAATAAACATCCAAAAGAGACAAAGCGGATGGGAAACCATATCCCTTCTCAAAATGAAATAATTAGTCCATATTTGGAATTTTTCGTTTATAAGTAGGTTTTTGAGATTTTCACTAGATCATAAATATGAAATATATTCACCATATTTCTGTTAAGGTAATGAAGAACTGGTAGCTGAATTTTCTCCTAATGACATAAGTAAACCTTACGCGCCCAGTAAATTTCGAATAGCCTCGCTTTCCAAGACCTATTCACATCCAGGCTGGAGTGGACTGTAGTTTCGGCTTCGTCTTGGTCTCGTTAGCATTCCCGGCGGGACTCGAACCATGAAAGTGCAGCGTATAATTTGGAAACATTAATCACTTGGCCGCGCTACACCTCATACATATTTGGAATTGGCAAATCTGGGAATTCTTATGGAAATCGGCCAAAAAACTGACCAACTGAAATGTGGGGAATTTACCAGGTAATAAACCGAATAGTTGTTAACTATAGGCACATGAAAGCGTATAATTATAAACAGGGATCCAAAGGAAATCAACTCTAATACCTCCATTCAGGCTGCCACCAAATGACCAGGTTCTTGAGTTGAAGTTGGTGTGTTTTGTGGGAGTGTGGAAAAATATGAATTTTGACAAGGCAGAAGATACACAAAACTTCAACCACGAAGGTTCGACAACGTGACAGAATGTAATCCTAGAAAGTTGGCTGTCAACACCTTCACCAGCATTGCCTACGGTTGTCATCGACTCAAGTTTCCACAATGTAGCAATCTAGCCCCAAATACAATAGGCTAAATCTTGATATGCAGACGACCGGCCTCGCAAAAGTTTTACTTTGGAATGAGTATTTTCTTCATTTTTGTATGTATTTCAGCCGAGATAATCGGAGACCCAGAATAATTTGTCTCTGCACCAATGGCAATCTAACTGTTTAACTAGTCAGCAAATTCGTAATAGGTACATAAACAAGAGAACTCACAAAAACCATTTTTACAGCGAAATAGGCAACATTTTGCCCTTAGTGTTGCCTTAGCTCCTAGATCATAGAAGGGAGCTATTTAGTGCCTGAAATTCACTTACTGCATGAATACTAATGTCGTGAACTGTAATGGCAGAAACATGTTCACCACATCGACACTTGTCCTATTATAAATGTGAGTTGGGAAAAGATTTGCTCTTCTTGAAAATCCCACTTTCCTTGTGACCGATTTCAATCGGGGCTGTGTCGCCTTGAGCTAAAGCATAGCTATTTGACGTACAAAACCCGGTTTCGGATTCAGCTGTGGGAGCTGTAGGTGCCGAAAAGAGACTGGCAATGTTGAAACTGCAAACCAGTTCGGATTAGAAGGCATTTTATGAACTAAGCGACATTCAAGGGTATTGTGAAGACTTCAACTCATTTCACGGTAGGAAATTGAACTATTAGGCTTTTTAATACTAGAATATCCTTCATTTCGTTTGAGAAGGCGAGTTGAAGGGGTTCGTAGATTGGCCGCACCGGAGACCGAAGGAGGGTTGCTTTGAGCTAATTGTGCGAAGAAGACCCCGGATCATCGTTCTATGACTTCGATAACTC